TGTGTGTGTCTGTGTGTGGGTGTGTGTTTGAAAAATCGGCTATCGATAATATAGTGTCAAATGTGAATCAATTATGAGGTATTTGTGACGTAATGGTGAGTTCAGATGATAAATGTTTGTATTTCCGCTCTTGCCACAAATACCCCCGCTAAATTTTGGTTGTTGAAAATCGGTCAACATTACAAAATATGTTGCCTGTTAACGACATGGAGCTGAAATTAGATTCTCTTTCAACTTCAGAAACAATAATTTCATCATTTTTAAAATTGAAATTTTTAAGTGTTGAACTTCCAATCGGGATCGGGTTGATATCAGCTGACAGAAGATGATGACGTCATTTCTAATGAAACATCACAAATCATGCACCTTCTTTCCGTCCGGGTTATGCTGAGGGAAAAAAAGTTAAAAAAAATGTCACCGCATTTATCAAACACATTTTTTTAGTTTCGCTCTTAAACGTTGAAAATATTATTCGTCTGGATATTTTAAAAATTAAAACTTGAAAAAATGTTTGGTTAGTACTATTACAGATTGGTTAACAACCGTTATCTATAATGTCTGTTCTATCTATTACTATATTTCACTGGGAATCTTGCATTTTTTTTCTGGCCCTGCCACCTGTGTAAATATCTCCATCCTATTATTTCCATTATAAACTTTACTTGCAAACAACGAATGTATCAAATACAAAAAATAAAAAGATAGATTTACTGAGTTGTTGAAATTTTGTTATCTATCCGCTGGGCTTAATGCGTCCGTCTTGAATGGATGCATGGGCGATTCAAATAAGTGAAAATATGTATCACTAAGTGATGTTTCTTTTGATATGAATGGTTTTCACTGTTGCTCAAGAATATGTGACTATTTTTGTGATTATATGTGACTATTTTTGTTATTAATTTTATTTTTTTTTATCATTCTTTCTATTATATAGTAGCAGAGTTTATTCATTTTCATTGTGATCATCATCGTCGTCATAGTCCTTAGCATCATCATTATCATTCCAAAGCATCACCATCATTGTTTTCTTCTTCTTCTTTTTCCATATTAAAATCCAAATGATAATTTTATAATATTATTTTTAAAACTTTTTGTAGATGAAGATGTTATCGTGGTTTTATCCTCCGTTATTTTTCACTTTCAACAAAAAAGTCCTTTCAAAACATTCTCCTTCATCGAGTTGTCAGAGTTAAACAACGAAGATGATCAAAATTAAATAACAAAAATAAATGTTTTTATTTGTTTAAACAAAATTTATTTGACCTATTTGTTTGAATTTTATTAAATAAAAATAAATATATTAAAAATAATGAAAAAACTAATCTAAAAAGGATTATAGAAGAATTCTTTGAAGTTTTTTTAATTTACACGTCAAACCAACGACCTAAAAAAAAGCTGTCAGAAAAAAATTTTTTTAATCAAAAAATTAATTATTTTAATTTGCAAATTTTTTTTATATTCATCTATTTTGCGTTTAAAAATTCGAAAAAATTAATTTTGAATTTTTATGTGGTAACTGCTACGGAGCTAATAATGGTGATGATTAAGATATTAATGGTGGTTAGTATAGTTATAATTACGATGATGGTGAACAATGACGATGACACTGATGATTGGGATGATGAAAATGTGCGTAATAGCACGATAGTGTAACGGTAAAGTGCCTGTCTTTGCTACTGCAGTAAACGGATTCAATTGCTTGTTGATGCCGGCAATGTGTGTGGGATGCGTGGTTTCACATGTGTTTTCCTGCACTGTGTGTTTGTTGTTGATGCTTCTGAAAAACATTGAAAAGAGAACATTTTTCAAACCATAATAGATATAAATGTTCATAATAATGATGATATCAGTGATGAGTTTGAGAACAGTCATGATATCAATTATGAATAAGTTTAGTTATAATAATGTTGATATAATTGATGTTTGAGGATAATAAAATAGATATTATGATACTGATAATAATGATACTGATAGAAATGATATAATGATACTGATAGAAATGATATAGTTATACTGATTGTTAACTAGCTATTAAACAACGTGAGAAAAAAACAGAACTATCTTTTTTTTAATTTAGCAGCAAAAATATTTTTTTTTTCTAATTTGCGGAATTACTATAAAACATTTCTGGCTATTATAATTGACAGACAAGCTTATGACAAGTTTATAATTGACTCTGATTAGATAAATTATGTTTAAATGCCACTACCACTACTACTACTATTACTACTACTACTATTACTTCTACTACTACTACTACTACTACTACTACTACTATTACTTCTACTACTACTACTACTACTACTACTACTACTACTACTACTACTACTACTACAAATAATAATAATAATGACGAGGGTGTCATCTTCTAATTTGTTCATCACATCAATTATGAAACTGTTCTTAATGGTATCAAGAGCAAAGTTGATGATGATGAAGAAGATGATGATGGCGGCGATGATGATAATGATTATGGTGAAAATGGCGATCATGATGAAGAATTATGCTACTTATGCAGCAAACAAAACAAAGATGAAATGAGTATATAAGAGTAAACTCAGTGAAAAAAATGAGAAATGCTCTTGTAAGTAAAGTGCATAGGCATTAAAACCATCAGAAAGTGCAGTTGTTTGTTTAATTTTTTACTTACCCACATAGGGTATTATTCAAAAATTAGTGCCAACCAGCCAACAAACAAAAAAATATTGCAAGAATTGGCTAAATAATTTTTGTGCGTGAGTGCGTGCGTGTGTGCTTTTGTGTGTGAGTGTGTTGTGTTACTCATAGCATTTTTTTTGTCTGTGATATCTTTAAAGCAATATAGTTTTCACGTTCACTCACTTTTGAAGGAGAAAGAGAGGAAGAGAGAGAGAGAGAGAGAGAAAAGATAGGTGAGAGTTCTGTCTTTGAATGTTAAAGTAGGTTAACATAACATAAACATATCATAACAAAGATTTAAAGTAGGTTAATATAACATTAACATATCATAACAAAGATTTAAAGTAGGTTAACATAACATAAACATATCATAACAAAGATTTAAAGTAGGTTAACATAACATAAACATATCATAACAAAGATTTAAAGTAGGTTAATATAACATAAACATATCATAACAAAGATTTAAAGTAGGTTAACATAACATAAACATATCATAACAAAGATTTAAAGTAGGTTAACATAACATAAACATATCATAACAAAGATTTAAAGTAGGTTAACATAACATAAACATATCATAATAAAGATTTAAAGTAGGTTAACATAACATAAACATATCATAACAAAGATTTAAAGTAGGTTAACATAACATAAACATATCATAACAAAGATTTAAAGTAGGTTAACATAACATAAACATATCATAACAAAGATTTAAAGTAGGTTAACATAACATAAACATATCATAACAAAGATTTAAAGTAGGTTAACATAACATAAACATATCATAACAAAGATTTAAAGTAGGTTAACATAACATAAACATATCATAACAAAGATTTAAAAACATGACGAACGTTTATGCGGTACCGGTATCGGCAGAAAGCCTCAGCAAAATCTAAGTATACAACATCCACTGCTTTCTTTTTGGCAAGAACGCTTATCCATAAATCCGTGTCGGCTTCTGTATATGTTTTATGCCAAGTGATTCACAATTATCTTCTTAATTATTCTTCCTAGTACCTTGAATACAATGCTTATGAGGCTGATTAGTCTATAATTTTCAGGGTTGCAACGGTCTTCTTTCTTGAAGAGTGGCACTACGATTGGATCCTTCCAACCCGAGGGTGATTCATCCGTTGCCAACAATATGTTGAAAAGTGTTAGCAGTGCATCATCCGCAGTGTCCTCTCTCATATTTTCAGAAATGCTGGCTTGAGGCCGTCGCTTTCGGGGCTTTTATCTTCTTTCAGTTTTAGGTGATACCAAAAACTGCTGCATTGTCTATATTTTATTATTTTTTCAAATACTATTTTATTTTGTATATTTATTTTATTATTTCTATTATTTTGAGTAGTTTCTGACCGAAAATGACAGCAAAAAGATTTTTTGGTGAGATATCTATCGTGAACAACATCCGCACGAACGAACGAACGAATGAACAATAGAACAAATGATTGAATCAACAACCAACAATATATCTTCTGGTTATATATACCACAATGAATGTATACAGAACGGCATAAAAATTTTTAACAAATCGAATGAAAGATGTAACAGACGCAACATCATTCAACACATTCGGTTTCTGCCGGCTTCTGAATTTTCAAGTAATAAAAAAAAACATAATTATTAGCATCAAAAAAAAAATTACAACAACATAGACAGCAACGGCATTAAACACATCAAGAACCATAACATCAGCCATAACATCAACACCAACGAACAATCTGAAATGGAAATTGCTATTATAGTTTATAAATGTCAGCCGCAACACAATTGCGTGTCTACCCTTGATGGAAGTTAGGAAGGCTTTATATCAAAATGATATTGCCAAAAAAATTTTGTTGTTGTAAAATCCGCGGCCGATAAATTTGTCTGAAGTATGTAGGATTTCATTATTATTTTGAAATTCTGTTTATTTCTATCAGTATTAGCAAGTCAAACAACCTGACTACCACCGTTAAATCGTAAAGAGCAAACAGCGTTGCTAGGGTAATGCACAGACGTCACATTAACATCAAACAAGAATGAGATATTGCACACACACACACACACACACACACACATGTCACATTAACATCATAGGAAATTGAAAAATTTTACACACGGTACGTTATAAACAACGAGACGAAATCAAAAGGCCAAATATCTAGCACAAAAAAAAAACATCAAGTGACGAGAAAACATATCATTAGAAACAAAATCACCACAAAATAACATCAACAGAGCCAATGAATAACACGCCATGTATGTGTGTGTGTGTGTGTGTGTGTGTGTGTGTGTGTGTGTATAAATAAACAAATAAACACCAAACACCACCACACAACAGAGCTTAGTTTTCTACCTGGCAAAACACCCGAACCTGGAAAACTTCTACCAGTGCGTTGTCACCAACGACTCCTTCCCGAACCACATTGTGGAAATGTTCTACCACGCTTTCAACTTCATCTCCGTCTACTTCCTTCCTCTGGTCGTCATCATCGTCTCCTACTCTCTCATCATCATCATTATCTCTAAAAGATCGAGGCAGACTATTGGTTGGTTGGCTATTTTTAGATTTTTTTTAGGTATTTTTTGGATTAGTGAAAATTAATGAAAAATGGAGTCTCAAATGAGTGAATGATTAAATTATTAATTGATTGATTGATTCATTCATTTATTGAATCATTGGATGATTGAGGGAATGAATTAATAAATTAAGAGGTAAAAGAATGAATAAAATATGTTGATGAATTATTATTTGATTGATAAATATATTGGAAAATTTTCAAAATTATAAAACTAAATTACCCAAGTTTCTTTAAAAAGTTTTTTAATTATTGAAACTTTCCGAAAAAATAGATTTATTAAACATGCTACAAAGAATATTTTTCCACTCTGATCATTTATTTATAGATAATAATATACACAATTTAAGCTTTAAGCATCTGATAATTTTTAACATAAAAAATCACAAAACCATTCCAACTTTCTTTTTTAACAAAATCTCTTTACGCACCACTACTTCCCATTTTTAGTTTTAGGCTCTAGAAGTCATTTTTAGAGTTTTTATTATTGTTTTTCATTATTTTTGTTATTATTTTCCATATCATTTTTATTATTTTTACAAAATCTTAAAATTTTTAGGCTCTCTAATGCATGAAGCGTTAAGTTTTACAGTCATTTATTACCTATGCCAATGAGATTTTACAGCCATTTTATCAGCATTAGTGATCTCGATGTTACTTTTAAATACTTTGGCAAATGATGCTAAGCTGCATAATATGCTAAAGTTGTAGAGACTTTTGTTAATGTAATGGTAATTGTCGCAGATGACATCAATGTCGTTAGGTTGTATAAGACATTAACTATTTCAGACTTAACAATGATTGTTGATGTGTTAGGAAAGGTTATTTAACAGAGTTTGTGATATATTATACTGACATTTTAAGACGAATAGCTAGCTTGGATGACATTCCTGTAAATGGTTCTGTATTGCACATAATGTGCACGTAGGAGAGAGTGCATTGGAGGCAGATATGCCTGCAACACATGTTGATGTAATTTAATACGTTATTATTAAATTATTCTGAAGGGTCGGAACCCATCCAGCCCGACTCGAACGATAACAAACGAGGCAGTAAATTAGACCGGAATAACAAAAAAGTCTGGAGTCTTCGACGGGAAAATTCCCATAAACACCATCAACAACAACTACGACAATCAAATTACGTATTACAACAACAAAACCACAAACAAACACCACAAAATCAGAAAAAACCAAATCAACAACTCTACAAACAGCAACAAATCACAGAAGAAGAAGAACTGCTATTTTTAAAAAACATCATCTCCCCTGACGAATTATGCGACGACCATGCCAGCGAAATAATTAAAAAACATTATTTCAGAGAAATAAAGAGCAACTTTTTATTGAGAAGCAAAAAATCAGACAGCAATGACGATGACTACATAAACAACTTATCTAAGATACGCAAATGTAAGAACAACCTAAACGGATGTGAGATAAAATGCTTGTGCTTGGACGCAAGTGATACAACCAGAACACGTTCCAACGACAACGACGATGTTGAAAACAGTTGCAGCAACGCTAACATTGAGCAACCAGAATTAATTTACAGACATCCAGCCAATTGCAACTCAAACGCCGCTCTTACTTATACGAAACGGCATTCAAGGGAAATTGATAACAATGGAAACCGCGAGAATCCACCTCAAATACGTGACGACAACCGGCTATTCAACAACAACGTCAACAAATACAACAGCATCAACAGCAACAAAAATAATAACCAAACATGCCACTACAATCACTCAAATGATTCTTCAAATAACCGCCAAAATGAAACAACACCAACAAATTTTTTGCAACAAAAAAAATATTTCTTCAAAAAACAGCCTTCCAGCAATCTGCAACTATGTCACCAGCAACAACAACAACAACAAAAACATGCTACTAAAGAGCTACATTCAACAAACTCAGAAGCACAACCACCACCGTCAACAACAACAACATCAACAACAACATCAACAACAACATCAACAGCAGCTACAACATCAGCAACAGCAACAAGCAATTCCAATCGTGTAACGCTAAGGATATCAGGTCTCAACAGAATTGAACAGGCTAGGGCCAAGACGCTGAAAATGACAATTGTTATTGGTGGGCGGTTGTTGTGTTTGTCGTCAACATTGTAGTTGCTTTTCTTTGTTTTCAACACTATTGATGTTCTCTTGTCTCGTCGTCGTCGAAGTTGTTGCTGCTGTTGTTGTTGTTTGCGTTGTTGCTGTTGTTGTTGTTGTCGTAAGTATTGTGCATAGTATTTGATAATAACTAAGAACAAAGGCCATTCAAAAATGAATTGTAGTGAGGTGTGCTGGGGTGTAATAAATAATACTATGGTTGATTTAGTTCAAAAACGAATATTTTTATTGTTAAAAAGATATATAATATAGATGTTTGTGTATAAAAAAATGAGTGTGAGTGTGTTTGTGTGTGTGTGTGTATGTGTTGCTTTGCAGATAATCTTTCAGTAGTATATGTGTCATTATTGCTTCAGTTGCTAATTTGTGTAATGTTATGAATTAAATACAATTTGTTGTTGTGTTCTGTTGTTGCTTTGTTGTTTTGTGAAGTTTTTTTATTGTTTTTTTTATTTGTTTTTGTTGTTGTTTTGTATTTTTTGTAAATTACCATTGTCTGGTTGTATTGGTGTCTCCGTTGCATCATGATTAACTGACTTTGTTGTTTATGTTACTAATTATGTTACTGCTTTTGTTGTTGATGTTACTAATTATGTTACTGCTTTTGTTGTTGATGTTACATTTTTAGGCCAGTGCCGTACTTGTTCATGTTGTTGTTTGTGTTGATGCTGATGTTGTTTATGTTGTTGTCGATTATGTTGCTATAAAGGTTGTTGTTGTTGTTGTTGTTGTTGTTGTTGATGGTGTCAGTGCTGAGTCAGATATATGTTCATGGCTTTTCTTTTATTGACATAGGATTTGGCATGATGCAGACTTCAGAGTTTATTTTCTGTTGATTTGGTTTTTTTGTTTTGTTGTATCTTTGTTGTTATTATCGCTTAATTGTTTTTATTTAGCATCTTTGTTGATATTAGCTTTTATTTCGTTTCTGCTTTTTTGTATTGCCGTTGCTATTGCGTCTTTGCTGTTGTTTTGTATTTTTTGTTGTAGTGTCTGTATTGGAATGTTGAAAATAATTTTATTTTTATCTTTTCTGGTTTCAATTTTTTGAATGTTGCCGGAATGGCAATTTCAATCCTTGCAAGCAACCGAAAGGAATCGTGTACATTCAAGATGGCCACGATGCAAAAGATGACGATGACGTCATCGATGATGATGATGATGACGATGATGAAGATGATGATGAAAACGATGATTAACGAGGTGGCGTGAGTAAAAGAGTTTTCTAAAGTTTTCTATCCAATTTTTCGCTCGTCATTTTATTTTTATAACTTTGCAATAAAAATAAAAAATGTTTGAGATAAAAATATAAAAAAATAATCAGCTCATGTTGACAGATTCCCCATTTTCTAAGTAATGATTGGTGTCGATTGAAACAATGACCGATGAATAAATTCTATATGGTTATTAAAAATGGCGATGAAGATGATAAAGATGATGATGTTTTTTTTACAATGATTATGATAAAGATTACGACTATGCTGATCGAGATTGTCAGAATCAAGATGAAAGATGATGAGTCTGGTGATTTTTTTTTAATATGATTAAAATAATGAGGTTATCCACGTTTGCAATGATGAATAAGGCGGTTATAATGATTCAAATGTGATAATAACGGCAATACTATAATGATGATTTTGATGATGATGTACTAAAATTGAAGGGGGTTACAGTCCCTATGAAGCCACCCCTGGCTGTCCTTCTTAAAATTTACCCCCCGTGTATGTTTTTATCTTGTGCGTATCTGCTTTATGGATGGTTATAGAGGTTGGTTGAGTTGAACGTGCTGGAGTTGCTGCTCATGAGAATGTTGAAAAATTGCTAAAATTTTTCTATGTCAGAAGCATTTTAGACTGAAGGATTTCACTTGTCGGTTTTAAATCTTTTTCTTATAAAAAAAAATTCTTCAAAAACATCTTAAAATTTATTTGAATAATTTTCCCTAAAAAATGTTTAAAAGTTAAATGATTAAATCATCATTAAATAAATTGCACCCATGATAAACAAACTGCAAAATAGTTTCTAATGGTTAACAAACCTTTCATTACATAATTTTTGCTGCTACTACTTATTATTCCTATTCTTATTATTCATTATTGTTATTATTATTTTTTATTACTATGATCATAATTACTACGATATTTTTCTACAGTTCTCGCATTCATCATCTGCTGGACGCCATACTACGTACTGGCTGCATGGTGCTGGCTATTTCAGTTGGTTAATCATTATTAATTATCATAAATTAACATTAAATTTTACTAATTATCATTAGTTATGTAATAATGCTATTACGTTATTAACGTTTATCATTGGATGATAAAAATATGGCTATCAAAAGTTTTTATAAATGATAATCGTTTGAAAAAAATATCTGTTTCAAACTTAACTTAAAACATACTTAGTTATTCAAGTAATAATAGTAATAATAAAATTAATAATTATAATTATAGTTGTTAATATTATTATAAAATATTTTTTTCTAAACTCCAAAGAGATTCCGTGCAGAACTATGTGAACCAGTGGATCCAAGAAATCCTTTTCATATTCGCCATTTCAAATTCATGCGCCGATCCCATAATATATGGTTTGTTGTAATTTTATGTTCTTAGAGGCTCTCGCAATAGGCCATACTATAGGGCTGCACCACCTAAATTTTTTATCGGTAATATGTTGGATATATTTTATGAAAGATATTCCTTCTACACCCTTGACGATTTACGCAATAATGTTAATGATGATTATGATTCACTCATACGCACACACAAACACACCCATTCACATACAGACATACATTTACACACATAATTATACATACACACACACACAAATACTTGCACACACACAAATACACGCACACACACACATATACAGGTATCTTCTCAGGAATATTTAAGAAAACGCTAACGAAAGAACGAAGCTGCACAAAAATCGTTGAAATTCAAATGCAATAACAGCAATGGCATGACATCACATACATTGCTTACATTAAAACATTGATAACATTAATAAAAATTAAAATAAGAACTAAAAATATGAAAATTAAAGCGACATTTAAGTTAAAAGGATTTTATCTATAACTATGACATCAACAATGGCAACAACATCAACAACAATAACAACAACATTAATAACAACGACAATAATAATGATTATTATTACATCCAACATCAACAACAGTAACAACAATATCATCAACAAGAACTCTTCATCTATATAACTCTCTTATAAAATTCACATTGATAAGTTTGTCGGCTGATGTGAGTAGTGTGAAATCATCAATCAAAGAAGAAAAAATTGTTTTTGAGCTTACTTTTGCTCGCATCATCAACGAAACATAATTTTTCAATTTAACTTCTTGTTCAAAAATGCAAACAAACATAAACAAACAAAACGACGGGATCCTTCAAAATAATACAAAAAGCTAAACAAACAAAAGTTAATTAAACATCTGCCGATAAACAGTGCTAACAAATAATTGTTTCTCTCTCTCTCAACAATAACAACAACAACAGTACCAACAATGACAACAACAACAGAATCATATCATCCAACCTCAACAACAACATAAAATAACACGTCCAGATAAAAATAATGAGAAATTATATGTCAATTGCACTAAGCCTGTTTTTAACAAAAAAAAATTTTTATGAGAGAAGCACATCAACAAACATTTTGATGAGAATTTGCACTTGTAAAACATTTTAAACATTAACTTCGCCTATGAGTAAAACATTAGTGACATCCCATAACTTCACACTAGATGATAATACTACATTTTCGAAATTTTTGTTTACTACCAACTTCAAAAACATTAACAAAATGCAAATTTATCACCCAAAATACATTAATTACATTAAATAATTCATCAATATAAGTCAAATACAACAAGATTGAAAATATATCAACCCAAAAACTGATAAAAATTAATAGATAAACCAGTTAGAAACATTACTTCTACAAAAAAAACAAAAGCAATTAACAACAGCAACTACTACAACTACAGCTACTACTACTACTATTACGACGACGACAATAGCTACATTACGTAACACCCTCAGTGAATCAGTAAAGTGCTATAAATTCTACAGTGGCATTAGTAAGTACTACAATTTTTTTATAGCTTTTTTATTCATTTAATTTTTTCATTCATTCTTTCCATCAATCAATCAATAAACTATTCATTTAATTTATCAATTAATTAGTTTATTTAATTACAATTTCGTTCATTCAATCATTTATTCATTATTTCAATTAATTATTCACATATCCGTATGAGTAGTTTATTCATCATCCATTTGATCGATTTTTGTCTGCAATTATTTATCAATTCAGTTATTCATTCGTTCGTTCATTCATTTGTTCGTTCACTCGTTCGTTCGTTCGTTCATTCCTTCATTCCTTCATTCACTCATTCATTCATTCATTCATTCATTCATTCATTCATGAAAAAAGAGATCAATTCAAATCTTAAAAAAGATGCATAGTTGATTGAATAAAAAAAATTCCATCATTTAAATGACATTCGGACCAACTGATTGCGATGGAGTGGAATGACAAATGATTGAGCGAAGAAAATTGATTTAAAAATAAATTTTTCATAAAAAATAACTAAAACAAAACTTAATTGAACAAATTCGTTAGCAAAAATATGAAATAATATTAATGAAACTAATTATTGGAATATATATTTATATATATATATATATATCAATTATTAAAATTAATATTTATAAACAAAATGTTACACGCAACCTGAAACAAAACCGAACCCAAAAAGAAGTTCAAAAATATTTCATATATAAACAAATAAATTTAACAGATCTAAATTTTGCTTTTTAATCTATCTGTCAGCAGTGCACAATAGTCGGTGTCAGCCGGCACTGTTATTATGTCGAACTGACTGTACCGTATGAGGTTAATATAGCAGCAAGCCACGCTCTAAAACATAGCATGAAGAGCTTGTTAGTGAGATAGAACAACGTGGGTTAAGGTGCTTGTAGTACGCAGTTGAGGTCGGTGCAAAAGGTGTTGCTGGTTGTTCAGTGTACAGCTTTTTGAAGGATTTGGGATTGGCAGGTAAAAGACTTGGCTCGTCGATAAAACTTACATCGTGATAGGTTCATGTGTAAACTCTCTGGCACACCTACACTATTTTAAAAGAGGCAAATAGTTTGTTCAGCAGAAGACCTCCATTTGATCTCTTGATGTGGCCCCGTTTCTCAAGAGTGTCAGGAAGTTAAAGGGCCGAAACACTCGTTGACGGAAACTCTTCCTCTGAGGACTCTCGCTGAATGCCGTTATATTCGAGTTTCTTCATACATGCATACAACATACATACATACATACATACTTACACACACACACACACACACACACACACACACACACCACACTAGTACATACATACATACACACATACATACAAATATACATAAATGCATGAAAACAAACACACTTGCAATTAAAATAATGCAAATATTTGCAAAAACAAACATACACATACATACAAAAAACAAACTCCTACATATAAATACAAACAAACTAAATAAAAAATACAAAAGAAAATACACAGAGAACATTGTATACGTAGAAATAAATGTTTTCAGCGGTGGGTGTTTCACGAACGTTTCCAGGTTACAAATTATTCAATATTAATCACTTGATGTTAGTAATGGGTTTCTAAGGAAAGTTAATTTAGCTTGTGAGATAGAAGTCAAACTGGTCACTTCGTCAACTTTTGTGTAGCGTGGAGAAGCGTGGCATGGTGTGAAAGCATCATTCATAGTTTTTGTTCTCTTGCGTTCTGTACGCTTTCTTTTTTAGTTGCACCTGCGTTCCAGGAAAAAAATTTTTTTTCATTAATATTATTCATTTGTTATTGATATATGTGGTTCAAGATTTGTTTATATTTGTCTCAAAATAGCATCAAACGACAGAACGCGTCGTAATTAATTTTATTTTATTAATTATTATTAATTATTTTTAAAATATTAATTTAAGAAATTTACGTACTCTCACGTTTAGTAGTTAATATTTAATTAATAACTAATTGTTTGAGATGTTTTTGCTATTTGCTACAGTGTGCAAGATGAATTAATTTATCTCACGTAAAATGCTGGCTAATTTATAAGGTGATGGGACGATCAACACAGGTCAACTTTTGCAGCATTTTAAATGGCTAAATTAACAAGATAGGGCCAAATTTATTCTCTTTTTCAGGTTTATAGTACCGTTTTCGTTTAGTTGTAGAAGACTTTTTCTTTTTGTTGTTTTTTTAACTTTGTTTTTCACATTCGTTATTTTTCACTTTTGCACGCTGGCGAAATAGCAAAACGACAGCATGAAACTCAGTTACGACACCTCTATCCAGCCCAGCAGAGCCAAACAGCATGATACTGTTAATTTCTTCCTTTTAACAAAACAATTAGCAATTTTCGTTAATTTTTTTATTTTATTTTTACAATACCTTCTACAAATAACACCCAACAATAGCTTATCAACATTGCGTTTTCCAACTTAATTATTCCACTGCTATACTATCCATCTTGGAAGTGTATTTCCTAGATTTTACTTCAGCTTAATTTTGACATGCTTGTCGTTAATTAGCGTTGGCCGAGCTTTTTGTGTTTGTTAATATGTTCGAACATTTTTTCACACTCATCACACACACGCACGCACACACACACACACACACGCACGCACACACACTCGTAAAAGCACCATAGAAGCATGCACGCATACATACTCCTTGTTCGTTTCCTTTCAAGAATGGAAGATGGGTGTTGGAGTCAATTTGGAAAAAAATGGTGATGATACTGATGATGATACCGGGGTGATGATGATAATGACGGTGAGAATAATGATGATTATGATGATGATGCAATCTGCCAGTAATTATTTGAAGTGTATTTTTAGTTTCATGATTTTCTAATTAACCGCGCCAAAAAAAATCAAAAAATCCCAATTTTTATTATTTGATTGGTGATTAGGGCCTAATTTATTGGAAACAGCTTTCTTATTACAATTTCTTGGCTGTTAAATAGTTTTATAACAGTTGCAATATTATGTTCAATGAAGATGAAGAAGACGTTAAAGCGGTGACCAGTCAACCATCCAACCAGTCAGCCAGCCAGCCAACCAACTAACCAGTCAACCAACCAACCAACCAACCAACCAACCAGCCAACCAACCAACTAGCCAGCCAACCAACCAACCAACCAATCATTCAACCAACAAATATCCAACCAGCAACCCATAGTTACATTCGATTCTGTACTTTGTATTTTTACACTTAAAGTATATTTTGTTTATGTGGTTTTATGTCATCATGATGTGATGAAATGGCTACAAAATGATGAAAAAATGGTGTTAATCTCTATATACGCGCTACATGTTTCTCACTTTAAGAGGTTAATAAAACAAAATTCCTCGTCCAACATCAGGTTGACACGAACAAATGCTTTGAATAAGTTGCTGATTAACAAATTTGTGTTTGTGTGTGTGACTGTGTGTGTATTTCTGTGTCTGTGTTTATTTTTGTGATTTATATGTGTTTGTTCGTCTGTTTCAGTGTGTGTTTTTGTACGTGTGTTTATGAATTTTGTTATGTGTGTGGCTGTAATTTTTTACGTGTTTGTATTGTTGTTCCAATTTGGGTATTTTAATGTGTCTGTGTATTTTTTGAATATACCTATGTACCTATGTAATTCAATTTGTGTCACTGTATGTCTGTATTACTACATGCTGACATGTTTTTGTAATTGTATGTATCTCTTTATTTGTCTGTATATATATATAAGTATTTTGTTTCTATTTTGAAACGTGAATGCACACATGAATATAATGATGTTAAAAATTTGATTGATGATAACTTTATGTAAATGATGACGTTGTGATGATGATGACGCTGATAATAATGACATAGAGGGCGATGATTTAATTGATAAAAATGAAGCATCAGTGATAATAAATTTGACGTTGACAAATTGACAAAAATCTTAATGAACGGATGTCTTATTGTGTTTAGGATTTCACACCCATACTCACACATTAATGTGTTTAAGGATTCACATATATACACACCACATACACACACCCACATACATACATATACACACAAGCACACTAACACACATGTATACACATACACACAAACTCACTGACACACATGTATACATATACACACAAACTCACTGACACATATACACACACCCACACACTCACACACATAACTACACGCAAAAACATGCGTATATACATGTACATGCTCACACATACAACCATATATAAGGTACCTAAGGTCATACATATACATACACAAATGTTTATATTTATTTTATTCCATCTAAAGAAAATTTTATTTCTCATGTTTATGCATCGTGGTATAAAAATTTAGCAATAAGCAGTGCATAAAAATATGAACTCATGCTAATAAGAATTTATGTATGTATGGGTGTGTGCGTAAATTATTGAATTTATGTGTGTGTGTTTGTGTATGTGTGTGTGTGTGTGTGTGTGTTTCATTTAATTGTTTGATTATATCTATTTAAACTTAAAAACGCATTTAACTTTGTATTTACATATGTATATTGTGTATATCAATGTATGTATAGTTGTAAACAATTATACAATATATAAATGTTTTTTTTGTATGCCTAAAATACACAATGAAATACAATACAAAACAAAACATTACAATGCAAGATACCACAATGCAATAATTTTATTCGATTAGGAAAAAAATAAATATACAATGCAATACAATACAAAACAATACAATGCAATGTAATAAACCACAGTGCAATAATTTTATTCAATTACAAAAAAAAATAAAATAAAAATAAGAAATGCAAATTCATTGTTGAGTGATGCATTTTATTCATTTGAATACATTTCATGGGTTGTTCGCTTGCATGGTTACATGAAGACGTGAAAGCCGACCACCGCACGCACACGAATTATTCAAGACATCATTCGAGACTTTCACTTTCAACATGATCCCTGAGTTCTTGGGACCGGTTAAAAAAGGCAGGATAAACGAAACACTGATTTGTTGGGATGTTTCTATTATCCGGACCACGCATTTTACATGCCGCGGTAAAAATTGAAGAATAAAATAAAAAATTTATTTAACTCAAGCAAATTTTTTTGTATAAATTTTAAAGCAAAGGCTTCTGTTTGTTGCAAATATATTTTTGAGTTTAAGTTTCATCAGCAGCAGCAAGATGAAAATGTAAAAAAAACAGCCCACTCAGTCAAAAAAATTTCTGCGAAGTAATTTTTCACCTCCACTTGTTTACTGAATTTCTCCAAACTGCAAATGCCTAGCGAATTTTTCGACATCGTGATTTAAAATTCCATTCAATGAAGTTTCTTCCCATTAATTTAGCATCGGGTTCAAAATGTATCAGCGTAAATAAGTGTAACAAGTTATTATAGAGAAAGAGAGAGAGAGAGAGAGAGAGAGAAAGATAGAGAAAGAGAGAGAGAGAGAGAACGATTCCATATTTCATTTCCTGTCATAAATTTCAACATCTTGGCGGTGGTGATTGTTAATGTTCGAGCTCTCATACAAATGAATTTGTGTTTGTCCTGCGTTATTTATAAAGAAAGTCTGTGTGTGTGTGTGTGTGTGTGTGTGTGTGTGTGTGTGTGTGTGGTGTGTGTGGTGTGTGTGTGTGTGTGTGTGTTTCGGAAACAACGAAAACGAAACGAAAGAGGTCAAAATGATAAAAGTGGAAAAAAATGAAAGTGTGGTTGGCGTGTTGAAAGATTTGTTGGGTGTGAGGTGGGCGTCTGGCTCCATACAAATCATCCTCGGATGAAACATTTTAAGATCCCGTGATCAGTAATAGCTAGCTCTCTATTACCTTATCTTTTTTGTTTCCTGGCCGGCACACTCTACAAATAAACAATTTTTTGTAGTATTCCATAAATACTCTTGCTTTTGATTGGTTGGAGTAAACATTTTTCGTGAAAACATCCGAAATTTGAAAATAAAACTTGAAAACAAAACTGCATTAAACAGAAAACAAATTTGAAAATTAACAATACAAAAATATAATATAAATGGTTTAAAAAATATTTACCAACACGGATGAAATATGATTAAATAGTAAAAAAAGACAAATAATTAAAAAAATTAATCATTCAAACAACTTTCGCATAAAAAAAAAATTTTTTTCATTCTCCACACCGAAAAGAACAGGACAAGTCAATTTTTCTTTTCAAAACGTCCTCTTCAATCAATCATTGCCATATTTTTTCGCTTTAATTTTCCTTTCACATGATTTTTTCATTGTAAACATTATTTTAACAAGTTTTCTATAATCAATTGAGTAATTATTTATAACACTTAATCATTTTCATCATTGTTATCATCACGCAAATCTTTTCACCATCATTATTTTTCTTCCAAATCTATGCTAAAACCCAAAAAAACTTTATCAAAATCTTCTTTTTCGTCATCTTCACTTTCTTTATCCTTATTCTGGTCATTCAGTTTTTGTTTGTTGATTTCATCATTATAACTAACAAAAGCGAGTAGGAAATCACCGATATTGTACTCACCATTGTCACCGTCTGCACCTATTTCATTATCACCTTCCAGTTCACCATCCTTTCCATCATCATCCTTCAATTCACCATCATTTTTGTTCACACCGGCCCCACTTACAACCTCATCTTTAATGTTCTCATCATCGTAATCGCCAGCATCCTTATAATCATCGTCACCAATTCCATCATCATTTTCTTCACCATCTTCGTTATCCTCATCACCTTCATCATCATCATTTTTATCATAACTTTTAGTTTTATTGACGTGCGAACACGTGGCAATTCCTCCAGGGCACTGGCAGTCTTCAAGCTTCTGACAGCAGTACAGGTGCTGATCTGGGGGCGGAAAATGCACCACCTTGCAGTTCAACATATCTCTACTCATCATTCTCATCATTATGCTGTTTATTTTTTCACCTTTTTTCGTCATCATCATATTTCTGGTTTGTTCATTTTTTCTCTTCTTCTTCTTCTTCATCGTCATCATTAGCTCTTTCATCTTCTCACTGTTCCATCATCGCTTCTTTGCTTATTTTCTTCATCACTCTTTCACGTTCTTCCTTTCTTTCCATCATTTTTTTATCGTTTTGCTTTTTGTCTTTTTTTCAAGCAATCTTTTCATCATTTTTACATTCATCCATTTTTTAAAAAGTTTGCCAGCTGGTTCTCTTCTTTTTATAAGATTTCCATTCGGCCCATTCTTCAGTCCGTTTTTTTCTTCTAATGACCTCTTAAGCAATTTTTTGTTTTTCTTTAATGGATCATCTGGCTGTTGTTGGTGCTGTTTTTGTTGTTGTTGTTGCTGCTGCTGTTGTTTTTGCTGTCGTTGTTGTTGTCGTCGTTGTTGCTGTTGTATCTGCTGTCGTTGTTGTTGTTGTTGTTGTTTCTTTTTCATTTTTGTTTGATCAATGGCATCGGGGCCGGCGTCGTTGTTTTTGTTGTTCAAATGTGGATTTTTTGTCGGGTTGAAAATGTCCTTGTTGTTATTGTTGCTGTTGTCGTGGCTGTTGTTGTTTCTGCTGTTTCTGCTGCTGCTGCTGTTGTTGTTTTTGTTGAAAGCGTTTGAGAATAAATTGACATTCTCATGAATAATTTTAAAAACTTTTTTCTTTGTTTTTTCTTTTGAAATTGTTTTCACGTCAGTGTTTCTGTTTTGTTGTAACACTATGAAAAAAATTTCAAAATAAAGGTTGATAAAAGTTGATAATATGGTAAAGTGTATTGGAAGTAAAAATACTACTAAAATAGTTTCAGTAGCAATAGTATCTGTACAGGTACGTAGAAACAGTATTATTAATATTTTACTAATAGCTAGAACTGTAATAATAACACTTTAATAATTGTAATATAATATAATGTAATAATAATAATAATAATGAGTGGCAAAAAGGTGTGCTGTTGCAGTGACAGGTTTCAAATGCAAGTCAATCCTCACCCATCCCATGTGATATGTGTACGATCAGTTGATTCACGATTATTTGCATGCACTGCATGTTTAAGTTGATATACTTCTGAAAAACACTGAAAAAATTATGGAAAAAATTATAATTGTCTTTGAATGATAAATGTTTAAATAACACTAACCAGGTGATACTAGAGGCGTCGTGTTAACCACGTGATGAACAGTTTCATCATCATAATCCTTGTGGATGTTGATTCGTTCCACCAACGGCCGATCTAGCTTGTCACCAGAAACACTGGACTCGGCAGATTCGGTCGACAACACAACAGCCACCAACGTCATCATTGTCATCGCCATACACATCTTCATCGTCGTCATCGTTACAAATTTTGCGTTCATTGTTTTTGTCGTGAAAATATTATTTTGGAAATACATGTAAATAGTAAAAGTTCCTTCTGAATAATTCTTGTTAATTTTGACTTGAAAAATGTCATATACGGCTGTTATTATTGACTATACATTAATACATATAACTTTTAAATTATCAAATAAAAAAAAGGTATTTAATCATTTAAACTGACATTACTGTGAAAATCTGTGAAAAAAGACACAGCATGCATCATGTTTTGTTCTCCTATTCGAGACTGACTGACTGACTGACTGACTGACTGCTTTTATCATCATTATCATCATTTAATTCATCTCTAATTGCTGTGTGTTACTTGTTGTCATCCGGTGGTTTATAGATTATTATGTTATATTATATTATATCGTTGTAGTGTTTTATATATTTGTACAGGATACATACATCTATGTATTTCTGTAAATGCACTCACACTTAGGCACACACACACACACATACCAAACACACATACCTGTTTATATTTGTTTGTGCATGTGCGTGTGTGTGCGTGTGTATATGTGTGTTTCTTTTATGAATTTTATATAGATGAAATGATAAAATTGGACAATGTTAACTAAATTATTGTGCAATAAAAATTATTTTTCAGCTTCTTTACTACGAGTTAAAATTTTATTGGGGGGGTAATTTAACAATAACAATAAAATTCATTAAGTTATTTCTTGGGGAATTTGATAACTTTTTTTTTCTTTTCTAGGATAATATATTCCACCTGTTTCTATAACATTTTTTTCAAAAAATATCTCTAAAACTTTTATAATTTATTTATAATTTTGTCAAAGTAATTAACTGTTTTGTTAAAAGAACATTTTTTTTTATTTTTAATTTTTTTTCAATATTTTCTGATCTGAAAAACTAAATAAACTTTCATTAGTTTTTGCTGAAAGTTAAGAAATAGTTTCAAAAATGTGGGCCTTCAAACAAAGTTTACAAAGTCGTCGAAAGGCACAACAATGTTTTTAATTAAATTTATGACTATGTCACTAATTTAGGATTTCTGAATTGAAGGGTTGACTGAGAGGTCCTTTTCTCTGGAACTCTCTACCTACTTCTCTAACTACTTCTCCATCACTTGCGAAGTTCAGAGCGGATCTCAAGACCCATCTGTTTTCAAAATTCATTGAGGAGCGCTGTTGAACATCGCGGAAATAGCGCTTTATAAGCTATTGATTGATTGATTGATTGATTGATTGATTGATTGATTGATTGATTGATTGATTGATTGATTGATTGATTGATTGATTGATTGATTGATTGATTGATTGATTGATTGATTGATTGATTGATTGATTGATTGATTGATTGATTGATTGATTGATTGATTGATTGATTGATTGATTGATTGATTGATTGATTGATTGATTGATTGATTGATTGATTGATTGATTGATTGATTGATTGATTGATTGATTGATTGAGATTAAATATTTTTTAAAATATTTCATTTTCATTTAAATTTATATATGAAATATGGATATATTAATTGGTAAAACTATGATAATGAATATAGTAATATATTCTTGAGAAATGGTCTTTGTATTCAGTTCATTTCACGGAGCTACAATTCGGCAAGCAGAGACACATCTAACTATTCATTAAATTTCTGTTTTGAAAACTAAATTACCCGGCTTCTGTCACAGTCACTCACATGCGAAATTGTTGTTTAGAATTGTTTTGATTATCATTTCTAATTATTTTTAATCTTCTTCTTCTTCTTCCTATTATTATTATTATTATTATTATTATCATTGATGTATATTTACTTTCATTTCAAATATTGATAATTACTCTTTGTTAAAAATTTTACAGTATTTTTGATGTTGTTGCTACCATACTTATGAATGTTATTTAAATTAAGTGTTGGACTATTTCTCTGAAATGAAAGCAAAATCATCATTTATTGAAATAATATTTTGGAACTTTAATAAAGTTGTTAGAGAATATTGAGTTTCTCTTATTAGTTTCGTTTGGACTCTCTGAAAACAGCCTCATTTCAAATCCATTCAAATTTCTTAGAAATCTCTTGCACAAACATTTTATAAAAATTTCGAAAATATAAGTATATATTTTTTTATTCTGTGAGTTATTTTTGTTTTCATCATCACCAGCATCATCATCATCAGCAGCGATATCATCGTCGATATCATCATCTTCATCATCGCCATCGTCATCATCGTCGTCTTCATCACCTCTCTTGAAGAAAGGGAATATCCTTCCCTTATAAGCCATAATCAATGATTCCCATACACAATTTTTATCACCATTGTGTTATCATCTGTCTCATCATCGTCCTCATCTTTCTTGTTAGTGCTTTTGAGATTTTTACTTTGTATATCATCATCCTCGTCGTCATTATCCTCATCATCATAATTATCACCATCATCATTATCATCGTCGCCGTCGCCATCTTCCTCTTCCTCATCATCATCGTCTTCATCATCATCATTGTCATTTGAATATGGTGCACTAGGGTTATATAATTTATCATCTTTGTCATCATTACTACTGCAGCAACTATTACTACTACTTTTGTTATCATTCCCATCCTCCTCATCATCATCAAAACGAAAGTAAAATGACGTCATTTCTCTGATCAATAAAGTTGTTGACAGTTATAAATGAGTGTTGTTATTGGCGGGAAAGTGATGATAATTATCGTCATTAATCATCATTATTTTCATCAACATCATCATCACTATCGTTTTCATCATCATCATCATCATCATCATCATCATCTTCCTCCTCACCATAGATATTTTATACTAATCATCTTCCATTTATCATTCTTATAATAATAAGAATCATCGTCACGATCATCATAGTTATAATCATTCATCGTCATCATCGATAACTATATATGCTGGTTATATATCGACCAGTATATCATACAATAGGCCTACTGTATAAAATATGGTCTCCTTCCAACATTTATATATATATATATATATGTATATGTGTGTGTGGTGTGTGTGTGTGTGTGTGTGTGTGAGTGTAAATATATATGTATATATATATATATATATATATATATATCAAATATAAAATGCGTTTTCAAAATATCATGTCGTACAATATTAAAATAATAAGAACTACGGTTGATAAAACTAAATTTAAATTTAAAAAATTTTTAAAAATAAAATTCATAGAAAACAACAAAAAAAAACAATTAGAAACATTGTTAACAGGAGTATTCATCTATCTTGATAGGTGTGGGAAATCTATTACCTGCGAGTATCTTGTGTCTAGTCAAGTTTTCAAGTTAATAGATACATCTACCTTAATAGGTGTGGTCAAATTTCTATCTTGTATATAGTAGAGGTGAAATATAGGTACATAATTTACATAACTTCGGTGATAAATAGTTTAATTAAGATACATTGGAGTCGTTAGGTTTTGGTAATTGAAATGTAAGTATAATGTCTGTGTGTTTGTGTGTGTTTGTGTGTGTGTCTGTGTGAGTGAAAGAGAAAAAGAGAAAAAAGAGAGAGAGAAAGAGGAGAGAGAGAGATAAAGGGAGAGAAAAAAAGAGATAAAAATTGTGAGAGAGAAGAGAGAGAGAAAGAGAGAGAATATAATCCTGTATTTTTCAAATATCAATGTTTGTGTGTGAAAGAGGAAGAGAGAGAAAATGAGAGGTAGATAGAGAGAGAAAGAGAGAAAGAGAGAGAGAGAGAGAGAGAGAGAGAGAGAAAGGAAAAAAGAAAGAGGAAAAGAAGAAGAGGAAAAAGAAGAACAGAAAAAAAGCAAAAGAAAGAAAAAGAATAAAAGTGGAAAGGGAGAGGAAAAAGTGCGAAAAAGTTTGTAAATGTCAATTGTTCAAGTGGGTTGGTCGGCGTACATGCACCCAACTAAATGTACCTGTTCTGATTTATGACCGTTTTCCAATTCGAATATTTTCTTTGGAATTTCTACAAAATTATGGAAATAAATTTTAATAATATTCAATAATTGAAAATAGGATGACGACAAAATTTGATTACCTGATTTCATTTGCTGGCATAAGAATACAACAGATGAATCATCACACTATTAATCATTAAATTTTTCTGTTAATCTGCTAATCAATGAAATTTTCTTCAAGTCCTAAACACCTAATTATCATCTAATTATACCTATTTGACGATCGGAAATTTGAAAATTTTGTCAAGTTTTTTTCATACCAAGGTTTAATTAAAATGTGTTGCTTTCTATCTAGATGACGACGAAAAGATTCATTTCTATCTCCAAGTTCTGCATACACCATATACATGGTTAAGAATGTGCCTGCTGACGTCTCGAGTTTGCTTGGGGTGTTTGAAATTTTTTACGCGTCCCGTCACATCAGAAATCATCTGAATTAGCTTTTGTTGTGATGGGAATTGAACAGATTTTTAAAAAATGATTTGGGTTTGTTAAAAGATTTTTGTGAAAAATTTTTGATGAAAATTTTAAAACATCAAAATGCTGTGGCTATTAACTGGTGATCAATAATTTGTATAATAATTATGTTTTGATCATGTAAGCAAAGAATTTTTGTTATCAATATGTGAAAGTACTTCTATACTACACTGCTAATATAAATTTGTAAAAGTACCTGTTATTATCCATATGTGAAAGTACAACCTCAAAACTACATACACTGATGATATACATCAACAAAAAAAAATAAAAATAAAAAAAATGTTTATATACCGTGTTTCCTCATATATAAGACATCCCTCAAATATAAGACCTAGCACGTTTTTTGTCTATTTTTCTAATATAAGCCCTCCCTCGAATATAAGCCCTCCCTCGATTATAATTTCTAGTATGAATCAGCTGACAACAACAAAAACTTCTGTCAAAACCACACCGGAAACGTCAACTGCTGCAAGATTTTTCGTTTTTCGAGGATTTTTCGTTTTTCGAACTGTTTTTCCTCCTTCAAGCATATCCTGAGGTTACAAAGCTGTCAAAGTAAGGGTTGTTTTTTCTATTTAAATAAACTATTTTGTAACATTTTGCCTATATTTAAGATGAATGGCAAGAGGAAAAGTTACTCTGTCGAATACAAAAAAGGAATTGTGGAAGAATGCAGAGATCAAAATATTACTGCCTTTTGCAAAGAGAAGAAGTTGGACGTACGAATGGTTAGAAAATGGCGAGCACAGTATGATGATCTCAATCAAAAGGTTGAAGATGGGCAGGCAAAAAAAAGAAAATGTGGCTCTGGAAATCGTCCATTCTTTCCAGAGTTAGAAGACATCATCTTTGACTGGATTGCTGAGAAGAGAGAAAACCGTATGGTTGTGCGCAGAGCTGAGATTCAAGCTTTTGCTATCGAGATGGCTCCTACACTTGACATCCCTCCTGAGGAGTTCAAAGCTTCAAAATGTTGGCTGGATCGCTTCCTTCAGCGGTATGAACTCTCACTACAAAGATCAACAACACTGTTCAAGCTTGAGGATAAAGAAGCTGTCAAGAGAGCTTTCATGTTCAAGTCTTTCATGGATGGTTTGGATTTTTCAAAGTATCAGCTTTCCAACATGATTGCTATGGATGAGACTGCTGTTTACATGGGTCAGGACACTCAAAAGACAGTCGACTTCAGAGGAGCTTCATCAATTTATGTACCATCAACTGGATATGAAAGTGCACGCGTCACCTGCATTTTGGCAATTCGTCTGGATGGGAAGAAAGCTGCTCCACTTCTTACTACCAAAGGAAAGAAAGAAAAGATTGAATGCCAGGGAGGAGTTTATGTCTTGGAATCAGAAAAGGCATGGAGTACGCAGAATGTAATAAGAAAATGGGTAGACCTTATGCTGCCACTTGTTTTAAGAGGAAGTCAACGAGGTCTCCTCATTTGGGACTCTGTAAGCACTCATCGTGCAAAGGATATGAAAAACTTCTTGGCAGAAAGAAGGGTTGATCAGGTTATGATCCCAGCAGGGATGACTGCTTACCTCCAGACCTTGGACATTGCAATAAACAAGCCTTTCAAGGATTACCTCAGACTTGAAATCAATGATTATATTGAGAATAGGATGTCAAGGAACAAAAATAACAACTTCGTGAAGCCTAATCTGCAGGAGGTAGTCTCTTGGGTAAGGAATGCATGGGGCAAAGTCACTGATAGCTGTGTTGCAAAGGCTCTGAAAGCAAGGTACTTGGACAAAACATCGCCATTTGAAGCGAGCTACATTGCAAAACACGATAGATTGGGACCTATGATACTGAAGGAGCTGGAGTCAAATGAAATCTTGGCTGGAATTCAAGGTCTTGATCTGGAAGAAAATGATGATATCCCAGAAGATGATGATCTTATTGTATTTGAATAAAATATTATTGTATTTGGGAAAAATAAATGATGTCGAAAAAATTGGCATAATAATATAAGCCCTCCCTCGAATATAAGACCTAGGGCAATTTTTGGGAAAAAATTAATATAAGACCCTGTCTTATATTCGAGGAAACACGGTACATTTATTCATTGTAATGACTTTTCAAAGTTTTAGTTAAATTTCATAAAATTTAGAGTTTTTATTTATACTGCTATTATTTTGGAAACCTCTAAGATAAAACCATTTTGAAAAAATGCCATCATTGTCGTTAATAGCACCATGTTCATAACATATTCATCACTAAGTTAATGCTTCCCATCTATGTGGATGTTATTGTGATTATTATACCCAACTTCGTTATCCTCGTAAATTTCATCTTCACCATCATCGCGCGCTCGTGTGTGTGTGTGTGTATTGTATGTTTGTGTGTGTGTGTGTGTGTGTGTGTGTGTGCGTGCGTTGTATGTAAATATCATAAAGTATCAAAGTATACATCTAACCAAATATTATGTGCATCAAAATATGTATGTGTTTCCAAAAACGTATTCAAATTCGAAAAATAAATTCACAATACGTATCACAATATGTATCCAAATGTGTATCATGTATCACAAACATTCGTCCCAGACGTTTATTTCCCACGTCACGTTATTCAACGGTGCCGGCCGCTGAAGATTCTTCTAATTGCTCTATTTTTCTATTTGGCTAATATCCTGTCATGCTAATCGTTGTTGTGTTCTTTATGTGCTGTTGGTATTGTAGTGTTGTATGTTTCTTTTTCAGTTTTGTATTTTCTAATTTAAGAAATATTTTACGTTTGTCTCTCTGGCTAAAAGTGATTTATCGCCTGTTATTTTGCTGAGTTTTATTTGACAAGTCAGATGTAACAGAAGTACTACCCAATCAAATTCTATAAAAAAATGTTAGCGAATAGATGTTATAATGCAGAACTTGATGTATAATAATTTACAAAGACAGTCTAGTCTACCCAATGATTTGATCATTTTGCTATCAAAATGAAGAGGAATAAAAGTGTTGATAGTAAATGATGAAGATTGAAAGATAGAACCTAATTGGCTGATTGATAGACGCGAATTGGGGTAAACCGCAGACGGAAAATGGAAACAACATCCTCTTCTAATGATGGCCGTAAACAAAGCACCATGAAAGATTTTTAAGTAATTGCCATTATTTTATATACTGGAAAACTATTGAGTTAGACGCGAGTAAGTGCTTAGTTAAGATGAAATTGTATGAAAATTTTGAAGATAAAATAATTCTTTTGACCATTTCAAGTAGTACTTACATTGTCCATCCTTTTAATTTTTATATATATTCTCACCAACATTGTAACACGCGTAAGCAAGAAGAAACAGAAAGATAAAAGAAATAATTACATGAGGTGACTCTGATGGCATAAAAAATAAACTTAAGCTTTCAGAAACATCAATACCTTTCGAATGTTGGTGACAAAAATCTCTTTCAGACATTTTTTCAATTGATTAAAAATTTTTATGCATAATGAATATGCATAATTGGTCTTTATTTCAGTGGTAGCCGCAAAAGTTAAGACCATTTCAACAAGTTTTGTTATAATAAAAGAACCCCCTCTACCAGGAATATTCAAAGCGTTCTGCCACCTATCATCCGATAAAAAATAATTTTTAACAAAATCTTGCCTACAGAGCAGGCAAGCAACAATTATATTCAAAATATGGAATTTTGATTACTATTTATAATACTTGAACTGTTATCTTGGATCGTTAGTAGCAATCTTTACTACAACATTACTACCACCGCATATGATGAAAAATAATTGTAAAAAAAATTAAAGTCTGTAATTTTCATAATGACGCCATAGTATAATTACACAAATTAGTTATACCTGCTCTAAAACATCTACCGCATACTACGGTTCAATTACATTAGTATTTGTCTCATCCTAATGAGTCCAATTGATAGCATTAAAATTAACTTCAAAATAATTCATTCTCCCATATATCCAGACATGAAAGAGAATAAACCCCATAAGGCTGTCACCTAACATGACCTAGATACATAAATAAACTAATTAATTAATGCAACCCGACCTAGATTTATCATCAAGGTAACCGACTTAACAGACGTACTACACGTGACTTTCTTTTGATGGAGATACTTTTGAAAGCCCTGATTGATCGGTGTTAATCGAGTCGAGGTCATTCATAAAGATTATTTTAAGTAATTGCAAGTTTTAACGAAATTTTCTCTCTATACACACTCGCACGCACACATACACACAAACACGCAAAAACACACACACACACACACAGACACACACAGACACATACTGACACTCACATTAATGTATACACATGTATAATAATTTGTAATTTGCGTTCGAAATCATTAACATATTTTATTTTTTTTAAATATTCAAATCTTTTTCTCTTTAATTTTTCATAAAAGCAACATAACAAATAACAATCATTGACAACAACAACAGAAATAACAACAACAGCCAAGCCAAACAACAAAAAGTACAATAAAAAAAACATTAAAAAACAATAATAATAATAATAATTGAAATACAAAACAAAACCAACATCATCTATGGTAATAAAACAGCAACAAAAACTAAACAACAAAAAAACAATAAGAGAAGCACGTGACTGACTAAACAACACGTGACTAATGGTTGACCTTCAAGTTGGAGGTCACGTGAACTTAGGCGACGGTCTTGAAAAGAGATAATGCAGGAAAAAATTGAAAAAGAAAAAAATGATGATGACGACGATGACGATGATGGTATGAAGTTGACGATGACGATAACGTACATGAACACAAAGAAAATTTATCAACAAACTTTTACACGAACAGATGCACAGGCACACATACTGACATACACATACACTCAACAATATTCAAGGCGCAAGCTGAAAAAGCAGACACATAGATACAAACACATACACATACACGCACGCACACACACACACACACACACACACATACAAATTGCAAAAAAGGCCTTAGAGGACTTCAAACGACAATGACATCAGTGCAAAATTTCGTTTTGGTTACGCAAGTTAACAGCGTTGCGTTGCACAGAACGCATTTGTGCCTTCTATTGCATTTTGCCTCAAATCTAACAAGTAGAAAACTATTTATGCTATGGTTTGTTTGTGTCCGCGTATGTTTGTGTGTATGCGTCTTTGTGTCTGTGTGTGTTTTTTGTGTGTTTGTATGTTTCAGTATATGGTTTGTTTGTTTTTTATACATATTTGTGTTTTTATTTATTTTTGCATGTTTGTATTTTAAATTTTTTTATATTTTTATTTTTTTGTCGTTTGTGTTTTGCTGTGTATCAGTATCGAAAAAATATTTTTGACTTGTCAATTCTTATTAGTTTGTATTTGAAAAAAGTTGGAATGATTTAACGTGTTTTTCTTCATAAACGACAACCAAAAAACAACAAGACGGCCATGAAATTGAAACAACTACGCCTCTACTCAACAACGTGCACAACAACATTGCATAACGTTTCATAAAATTGTCACACGGAGAATGTTAGAGCAGGAAAATAAAACACAATACAGATCGTCATATCATTACGTAACAAGGCTCTAGTGTTATAACATTACCTATTATGCTCATTTCCTCAGACCATATCTTTAACTAATGTCATTAACGCAAACTGTTCTGTTTATATATTGCGTGTGTGTGTGTGTGTGTGGGTGGGTTTGTGTAATTTTATATTTCAACGTTACCTTATCGAAAAATGCCTACTCGCTCATTCATTCATCCATTAATTCACTATTACATCCATTACATACAAGAAGTATGTATTTTACTAACATTAATGCATTCATACTTCAATTCATTCACTCATTCATTCACATATTCATCCAGCAAACCTTCTATCCATCTGTCATTCATTCTTCTCTAACTTCTAGTATTTAAGAATTTTCTATTTATAGATGTCACGGGAAACCCTAACAACCATCCAGTCAATCATCCAACCAGCCATTCAGTCACCACTGACTTCCCAAGGGACTAAATGCTACCTACCTGTGCCGGCCTCTTACACAACCATTTAATTTTGGCCACATTTTTGGGACCTTTGTAGCAATTCAACTTAACACGATTTTAAGAATATAGCCATCGTAAGAATATAGAAACAAACGAACAAATAAATGAATAAAAATAAAATTTATTTATACACACACGTTGTTCTTCTACCTCTACATGCGCTTATATGAATAATGTTTTTAATGTTTGTACAATATAAATAATGTTTGTGTTTGTACAATATAAATAATGTTTATAATGTCTGTATTATATATACCCTAATATACAATTATACGCACAGCGATAAATACACACAAACACTCACACACACACACACAACACTCACACACACACACACACAACACACACACACACACACACATACTCAGACAAATAAACATAGCTAAATACGTTATTTTGCAGACACATGTGGACATATCAATCAATACATACACAGACAAACATACATACAGACAGACAGACAGCACTTGATATTTTTGCAATGTTCGTTGTTCGCATTTGCTTGTTAACAAAAAGTTAAACATCATTCATCATTGCCATCATCATCGTCGTTGTCATCGTCATGGATATCTGCAAGTTAGTATCATCAGTATCATCATCGTCGTCAACAGTTTCGTCTCAGTTATCATCGTCCCCATTGTCTTCATTTTGAAATGACGTCACTGTCGTCATCATAATCATTATTGTCATCAATATCATCACCATTATCATCATCATTATCATCATCTAATCATTCTGTTATGTTCAAAAAGTTTTCATATAAAGTATCATTATTGAAGCACACACATATACAAAATTTCAAAACTAAGGCTTAAACGAGCACGTGTACATGCAAAAACACATTCAAACTATTTACACACACTCGCACACATCCACATACACACGTACACACATACGCACGTACACACACACATACATGCGTATGGTATGGTATGTGTACCGCACATTAAACGTTATTATATCGCTTTCTGCATAGAGTGGCCATACAAACACGCCCCTGGCTAAACAAGATGTATGATGTCTTCTCTAAAGTTTGTCTCTCTCTTTCTCTCTCTCTCTCTCTCTCTCTCTCTCTCTCTCTCTCTCTCTCTCTCTCTCTCTCTCTCTCTGTCTGTATGCTTGTTCGTTTCTGTGAGTCTGTTTTTGTGTTTGTTGTTCTGTTCGTTAATGTCAATGTGTTTGTGTGATTGTTTAACCGAATGTTAGGTCTGTTGTTGGCCCAGCGTAGGAGTTGTATCGCTGCATCTTTTTTGTTTTATCGCACTTGCCGGCAAAAAAAAAAACTTTTTGCCAAATTTTTTTGACTATTTGTTGCAAGTTAGAAGAGTGTGCATGCATTTAAATTAGAAAACTTTTCAACTTGAAGTAAATTTGAAAGTCGGAGGAGGACCGCTGAACTTTTTTTGTCATCATTAGTATGCTACTCTTTCTCTCTCTCTTCTTTTAACTCTTCTTCCTGGACTGCCTTGTTAGCAAAACTTCTTAGGAGCAAACACATTTGCATGAACACTGGAACATAACTTAACAAGTCACATTCACGTGTATCTTTTAGGAGTAAGAAGTATATCCTCACATAAAAATCACACAAACTAAACAACAACAACCTATTTATAAACAACAAAAACAACACAAACATATACATATATCTAAACATTCATCACCATTCAAAACAACAATAACACATACTCTAACAATATTATCTACTCAAAACACACCGCACGTAAAACATCATTGCCACAAGAAGCAAAATAGCATAATATTCTCATATAACAACTTTACAACACAAAAAAACAACACACAACAACGACAATATCACGTTTAAAACATTGCGTGAACAACAAGACAGCAAAATTTCAACAGCAATAAGCAGAATATACGTACTACAGCACATGCAAATATGAACAACAACAACTACAACAACAACAACAAAAGC